GGCATGGTTGCTAGACACATATATGTGATATCGCTTGTCAGCAGAATGAACATTAGACACCCCGCGCCTTTCCCCTCATTGAATTTTACTTTCTCATGCAGCCATAGTAGTGAATTGCACAAAGGCATGAAGTAATGGAGCAAAAACTGCGGGAATATTTAACAGTGAATAAAGGAGAGATATAATGCTCCGTTTTGATAGTTTTTTTTTTTTTTTTTTTATTTTGTTGGATTATATTTGATATATATTTTCGAACCTTAATACTTTGCTTTTGTTCTCTACTCACTTGTTTCTTCATCGTCGTGTTGTAATGTTTTTTCTTCGTTGTGGTGCTGTTGGTAATTTCTCCATTCTTCTCTTTTTTACCCTATTCTCATCCACCTAATTTCATGTGGCTATTCGAACGAAACCTGTTGGCTTTTCACGTTTTTCCTTTTTTTTTTTGATAGTCGGCTTTGTCCTTTCCGCGCGGCTAGTCGAATCCTTCTTTCTCATGCACATCGCTCGCTCCTGAAGTTGCTAGTGATAGTTTGTTGGGCTGTTACCATTCTTTATGTGCTATTGCTGTCATATTTTCACAGTGTTGTGACTCATTCAACGTCTTTTCATGTTGCTGTATTTTTTGTATTATTAGCTTTCACGTTGAAAGTGTTTTTGTCCATGTTGCACGTACTTATACTTCTTTGTGGTTTAGTACTGTTTTTTGAATGAGTGGATTTTTGGTAGTTTTCAAAAAATTAATGTGCTGCGAGATTTTTCAGAGGTGAACTCAAATTAGCAGACTTTGGTTTGGCAAGGTTTTACGATGAAGAACAAGATCGGCCTTATACGAACCGTGTGATAACGCTGTGGTACCGGCCACCTGAACTGTTATTGGGCGAAGAGCGATATACAACGGCTGTTGATGTATGGAGTGTTGGGTTCGTTTGTTTTTTTCGTTGCAAACTTACTGCGTTGATCTGTTCATCATTCCGAAGAATTTGATCAGATTTTGCGTCTCATCTGGCTAAATGTGACATTTTGTAAGCATTTTTTCTTCGTCAGATCATTCCTCCACTTTCACATTCACATCTTATGTATCTTAGCAATTTTAATGCTTTTCTGGGTTGCGGTAGAATTTGTATAACTCTGGTCGGATTTTACTCTTTCATGCTTGCAGCCTTTGTAGATTAGACTAGTAAATCTACAGTAAGCTGTTCGTGAATTAGGCGAAGTGAATGGAAAGTGAGAAGTAGAACTAAGAACCGGAATCATTTTTATGCAGGCAAAAGACACGAAAAATTGATTCGAATGGCATTTTTAACAAAAAAAGAAAAGGCGATGTAAGTTCTGGAAGGGTTAAAAACTTTCGTTATTTTTATAAGTACCAGGACAGTCAAGATAAGGAAATTCGCCCTCAGAAGCGTGAACGTGATAAGAAAAATGGCGACTGCTAAAACTTGGCCCAGTCGGCACCGTGCACGATTCGCAAAAAATTTTTTCTGATAATGACGGGTATCCTTACCCACGGTGTTGCAGAGGACTTTAGATGCC